CAAGGAAGGAGCATATCAACAAAATGGTACAGGTCAATTCTTCTTGTCAAAAAAAACATCAGTCGAATTTCTGAAATTTCGTTTATTGCTACAATTACAATAATCTAACGGTATTTGGCTAGGATTACAAGTTTACAGTGTTGTTTTTTCCTTATATTATGTTTTAAAAATACATTTCTCATATTTTTCTCAAAGTTTATTTACTTTTTTCTACATTGTACAAAGCTACAAGAATACAAGAAAGAACACGAGAATATTTTGCTTTAGATCTTTTTTTTTGACATTGAACAGTTACCAAAATTTTGATTATGACAGTTAGTTTTCCTATTACAGATCGAAAATAATATACAGAGTTGTCCACTTTTTAGTAGCTAGACTTAAAAACTGTATTACAAAAAAACGTATGCACTATATGTGCGCATATTTGAAGTGACATATAATGCTGTTTTAATATAAATATTACTTTCAATGTATTTCTATAATCTGTACATTTTCTCTTTCCTCAATAGCCTGCAAATTTTGTGGAATACCACCCAAAATACGCACTTTTATGCAAATAATGCCTAATAATATTAACACCCCTTAAAATTTATCTAAGGGCAGAAATTTCGAACCTAACCAAAAATTCGTGTAGTCTATAGACTTAAAATAATTAAGTCTATGGTGTAGTCTGTTTTTGTTTACATGTTTTGTTCTTTATTTATAGTGATTTATAGTGATTTTGTTAAATTATAGGAATATTCTCGTTGGTTATTGGTTTAAAATGAATATATCAATGTCCTCCAATGAAAATGCGAGTTGCTAGCCACACTGGTGCGATCACGATCAGGGCAGCGATAACATGAGCGATCCTTCTAGCACACACCAACGCGTTCACGTTCACCGCCGTACCTATATATAGAGAGCTATCCTGTAGGTATACATAGGAACAAATTAAAAATGTGAATTATGTATACCAAAAAAAAAACATTCTTAAATATTTACCTACAATATTTAAACTTAAACGATAAAAAGGTATATACTATCTACTATCCAATCCAATTGCAACTCCAATTTTATCTCAAACTTTTTATTTTTAATTCTATTATTTTTGTAACTTGGATCGGATAAATCATATAGAATTTTGTGTATTTTTTTGCAACAAGAAAAAACACAAAATAGCGGAAAATCCCTATCAGTTGGGTCGCGATCACGCGATCAAACTCGACAAGTTAAATCTGATCGCCACCGCAGAATAGAACGCCGCCAGGCCGCTTCGTCTCCAAAACTCGATCGCGCTAAGGTGAAATATGTATTCTTCAGCAACTTTTGGCCGCGGCCGCGTGGAGATCGTGATCGCAGCCGTGATCGCACCATCGTGCGTACAGCTTGACTAATTCAGAGCTAGCAAATGAACTAGAAGCTTTACCTAGATCGTTATTCAGAAGCTACCAACCTATCGATGAAAATATGAATGAAAATTTAATTCCTTTCCCACTTTTCTTCTCGCTAGCTCGTGTTTCACGGCTATGAATTTTTACTCCCAGCGCGCGTAACGGAGTTTCACTTAAAACATTTTTGCCACTATGTTGATATGAAATATTCTTAAAATATCTTTTTTCTATTAAAAAGTGAACGATTCTGTACTGATTTAGATAATCTTATAGTAAATAGTTTGTTTTTTATATTGTCTACTTTTACCTTCGTTTGTAGTGAATGTACAAGAGTAAAAAACTACCTCACGACATAGTTCGTACGAATATCAAATAAAATAATGTATAACCTGAGACTTACATACCCGATAATCGTGAACACTATGTATTATCATGTATATTCCTCATAATAATAGATAATAAAAAATTATAATACAATTAACAGTTTATGTTACATGTAGATACATATAAAAATGTTGCAGAAACAATACTTAATCTTTGATTCCGACCAAAACATGTAATCATATTATTCATATTATTAAATACCGTATGATAAAAAAAAGGAGTCAAAGGCAGCTGGAGAATGACAATCGATGATAATTTTGGCCAGGTCAATCTCTAGACGTCATTTACTAAAAAATAACATAAAATTGTAAAAAGTTAACACTAATTATAGAAAGATTTAAAAAGGATAGAACGTTTCCGGACACAAATCTATTTCCAAATATTATTATTGCTCGGATCTTAAACTACACCCTTTAAAAATAATTTTTACTCAATATAAAAATAGTTACAACTTTCTTAAGGCCAACTCCCAAGGAAACTACCTTAGGAACCAAATCCAATGGAAACTACAAGAGAGCATTGAGACGCATCAGAAATGGTCACGCAAGGTGTGATCCTCCACAAGTAGCACACAAACTACCACCTTCTCCAGCAAGGGTCGGGAGCCTACCTCTAGACCCAATAAGCGACACAAGCTACCGTTTCGTCTACCCGGCCTGGGTCAACCAGGCGGTAGAACAAGAGAGGGAGCGAGAACCTCTCACCTCTTCTCCGGCAGGGAGATAAAAAAGCCAGGATAGAAAACCGTCCAACACCGGGAGGCAAGTAGACGTATCACCAGCTTTGCCGCTATTCCTGGACAAGTGATAATGGCGGTGCTGCCAAAGAATTTCACAGAGGTTGCTCTGACCACCGACCAGCAAACGTCTCTAGAAGAGGCTATACTGGACGACGTAGTGGCGATCGAATCGCAACACAACGATCGACAAAATGTGGATCAGCTGCGTTTTGCGGGGATACACTTTCGGGTGGGCATGATCCTCACAGATTGTGTATCTCAAGAATCGGCGAATTGGTTGGTGGAAATCGCAACTAAGCTTAAAAATTGGCAAGGGCTGGAACTAGTTGCAGTGAAGGGAGAAACCATCCCTAAAGGGGCGGCCATCACGGTCTTTCTGCCGAGGAGCAAGGGAAAGACACCACCTACCTGCTGAGCCTTATCCAGGGTCAGAACTTCAATGTAGGCATCTCAAGTTGGCGAGTCATAAACTCGAGGGAGGAGGGTCATGGTCAGGTCCTCACAATAGGAATTGACCTGAAATCCAAGGAGGCATTAGAGAGAGAGCGGCATATCCCCTATTATAGATACGGGACAACACCGGTATCTAAAGTCTAAGGAGAGACCAAGTTATAGAGGTGGAGAAAATGGAGACAGATCCTCCAGCCTACACCTCACGGATACCTCAGCCGGAGGCAATCTCCTCGACTGTGAAAGGCACGGAGGGCCAAACTCTAACCGTAGAAGGGTGTGTACCCTCGGAGGAAGAACATCTGTTGTCAGAGGAGGATGGGAAATACGCTGCCCCTCAGTCAACAGGATGAGCTGTTGAGAACAAGTGTCAACAGGTGTGATGAGTTATAACTCAAGGAAGGGGGGTACAATAGATCTTTAAAGTCGCAGTGATTGACCCCCCCCCTGACTCATTCTACATTCTAAGGCCAACTGGCAGTTAATTAACTTAACCTGTACTATTATTTATTAAATAATACTCCGAATAATAGTACAGGCCGAGTTAATGTAGTTCAGGGCTTGACCGCCAAAATTGTCATCGATCCCAGCTATCTTTGACGCCGTTTTTTTTCGATTGTACGGTATTTAAATTTGTATGTCTACAAATTCTTAACCCTAAATGTAACGAAAAAAGAACCAATATTGCTTCTATAATATTTTTTCTGTATCGCATTATGAAACATAAAGATAAAAGAATACTTTATATACAATATAAACAAATTATATTAGTTTGGTATCTAAATCCATGTCTGTTAATATATACAATACTAAATTACAGAAATAATCAGAGAACTATACGAAAATGCATGGTTTATAAACAATCATAAAACTTGCCTTACTAGTAAGGTGGTATTGTGGTATCGATAGTTAATATAAATTTCGATATCTCTAGTCGAAGTTTTGATTATGTTTCGATGCAGTGTTAGTTAAATTTCGATAGAGTGTGCCAAATATATCTAATCCATCAAAAAATACTAACAATAAAATATATTAATAAATAATAGGTAAATTAAAAAAGTTTTATAAGAAAAAATGTCAAAATATTGAAAGACGTCATCTTCAGGCAAATGAATCGCTCCATACTAAATCTAAATGAGGAAAGGTGTTGTGTTTGGACTAGGAATGTGTTTTTTCTTACTATTATCGTGTAAGAACAACCTTAAAATTAACTCAAAAATCATGTTCTTCGCTTCTCGGAAGGCACAGGTTCAAAAAATAGACCGATCATTTTCAAAATTAAAAAAATATACATTAAATTTAACGGTTCCAAACTAAAAACACAAGATTTTTATTTGTAAAATTTGATTAGTTTGAGTTTACAGCGGTTTTTACTGAAAAAATCTATACATTTTCACTCGAAATGTTGAGATGTGTAGGGATGGGAACAAGACATCGATAATTTTGAAATATCGATATCGATATGTTTGTCTAATAAATATAAAGATGGTAAAATAGTTTTTTTTTGGTTGTTACACATTTCAGTAGACTTAAGGCGGATTTTTATGCATTGTATCCGCCTTTAGTATGTATTTTATTTATACCGGGTGGTCCGAACTGTATTCCGGAAACTTCGGCAGCATATTCTGCAGAAACAAAGAAGTAAAAAAGTTCGTATAAATGTATGTCCTAAAATGCTTAGTTTCGGAGATACAGGGTGTAGATATTTCATTTTTATTTCGATTTTTCCAAATAATTTCTGAAGTAACGTTAATATTTGGATGAAAATTGGTGACTGGGAGATTTTGACATGAGAAAATTGATTTTGATGTCAATATGACTCCTAATTGTAGGGAACGCCACCTACATGTGTTTTAACTATATTGAAGACTAATAACTTTTCGTCCGTACCTGTATAAAACTACTGAGTAAAAAAATGTACATTTCCGTGATAATTTTACATAAAAAATATCTCTTGGTAAAATAAATCGCTACGAGCAACCGTTCTCAAGATATTTAGAATGGAAATAGTCAATAAAAAATAGAAACTTCTACACCCTGTATCTCCGAAACTAAGCCATTTTAGGACATACATTTTTACGATCTTTTTTAATTATTTTTATCTGTAGAATATGCTGCCGAAGTTTCCGGAATACAGTTCGGACCACCCTGTATAAAGTTGTATAAATTTCGCCAATAAAAACACGCTATAATATTCAGCCATTTCCTGGCCGTAGTCTCTGCAGTTTTTGATTATACATATTCTGTAAAATTGTGTGATTTATTCTCACTTAATACTGATATTTTCGAACTCTTATTTCGATGACAATATTTTGGATTTTTCTTCTTCGCTCTCTTGCGAATGTTTTTAAACCTTTCTGAGGTTTAAATGTAGTCTTAACTACTAATTGACAAATTCTTCATTCTTCTTTGATTAGTGTCCAATGCACCGATGTTTTTGGGACACCCTTACGCTGTCAGTCCTAATCGATGGATTTTGGCAGATAAGAAGTTATGTAGGATAAAGACGATGGGTTTGGGACATCCCTCGATGTCCAGTTCCTAAAATATAAAAAAATAATTTAATTAATATACTACAAAAATAAAGAAATGTTATATTCAAAAATATATAGCATGCGAATGCGATAAATTTTACATTGGTCAAACATTTAGACCCTTAAATGTTCGAATTAAAGAACATAAAGATCATTTAAGAAAGGGAGACAAATCTAAGATTTCAATTTGTCAGCATTCATGGGACACAGGGCACAGAATAAATTTTAATAACGCCAAAATTACAATGAAAGAAGCGGATAGCCTCTAATAGAAAAATAAAAGAGGCTTTTTTAATACAATCTAATAAAAATAGATGTATTGCTCATGCATCTGTAGATGTTAGTAATGTATGGCAATCGCTTCTTTGATTTTAAAGAACATAACATACGTAAAAATTAAAAATAATCATACAGAAAGTTTGGGGTTTTCTCAAAGATATTTAAACTCTCGAGTTTAAATATCTTTAGGTTTTCTGGTTTAACCTTATTAAGTAATTGTTATCAGCAAAATAAAACACTAAATCACCACAATACACCAAAACACTTTTACTTTTACACTGGACGCGCGTTTCGCTAACCTTGTTTGCATCATCAGCAGATGATTATAAACTAAAATACAATCTACAATTGGAGCGTTTATATACTCGCTCAGTGGGCACAAAGTGGGCGTGGCAAGATCTAGCCAACCGAGTCAGAACCCACCAAGCGTAACAGTTAGATTTCCGCCACTAGAGTAGTAGGAACAAAGAACTTGAAGGAATTGCACCGTTGTCTCTGTTCATACTATCTTTACATTTATTAATTCTGATGCTTTCATATGCATCTATTTGCCTGTAATTTGAGACTTGTTTAATTAATTTCAAGTTATTAAGATCTCTACAATGTCCTTTATCAACAATAAGTTCGGCAACGCAAGATTTATCCGGTCTACCATATCTTATCTGAGCTAAATCTAGTTAATATTGATCTTCTAGTTTGCCCAACATCTTTCTGATTACAATCTTTACAAGAAATTTCATAAATACCCGACCTTTCCAGTAGAGGTGTTTTATCCTTTGGATTACCTAATAATTGTTGTAATTTATTATTAGCACTATACACAAGTTTATAATTGACCTGCTTAAAAATTCCTTTTAGACCACGGGATAACTGTCTATCAAACGGTATTGAAAAATATTTTGACGTATCTTTCTCTACTTGAAAAGTCGAATTTTCAGAAATCATTAACCTATACCTACGTTTTCTAATTATTTTATCAACTAGTGAAAGACAATATCCATTACACTCAACTACATTCCTAATGTAGTCTCTTTCTATTTCATATCTTTCGTTGGAAAGTGGAAAACTAAGTAATCTATGAACTAAGAAATTTAAACTAGCCATTTTATGTTCAATACTATGATATGATTCATTAGGAATATATCTTCGTGTAGTGGTATTCCTATAGATATCAAATTCCAGGCAATTATTAGTATTTCTAATAACTAATACATCTAGAAATGGCAATCTGTCGTTGTTCTCAATTTCATGTGTAAATTTAATGGAAGGAAAACGATTATTTGACTTAGAAATAAAATTATCTATGGTGTCTGAATGTGTGTCAAAAACAGCAAAAATATCATCCACATACCTAAAACATACTCTTGGAAAATACTCAAACTGATTCTTAGCCTCCACTTCAAACCTGCTCATGAATAAATTTGCCAAAAATGGAGACAATGGATTACCCATTGCTGTACCTTTCCGCTGTTCAAAAAAAGTTGTTATTAAATTGAAAACAATTTTGTTTCATACATAACGATGTAAGCTCAATATATTCAATCACAGTTTTGTTGTCGAGACCATTTGCGTTCAGTAATTCCTTCAAGTAGCCTAAAGTGTGTGTGTGGAATTGGAACACTTGGGAACAACGAAGATACATCAAAGGAGACCAAAATTTCACCCTCATGCAATGTTATATTTTTAATTTTGTTAATGAATTCAATGTTGGTGTCTCTTTCAGAGAAATATGTTTCTCCTAAGGTATTTACAAGAGAGGCTTGTAGAAATCAGTTATCAAGAAATATCGTTTCAAGTAAATCATTAAAATCTAACAAGAAGCATAATATTGTCAAGAATATTAACTAGATTTAAAGAACATTTAGCTCAGATAAGATATGGTAGACCGGATAAATCTTGCGTTGCCGAACATATTGTTGATAAAGGACATTGTATAGATCTTAATAACTTGAAATTAATTAAACAAGTCTCAAATTACAGGCAATTAGATGCATAAGAAAGCATCAGAATTAATAAATGTAAAGATAGTATGAACAGAGACAACGGTCCAATTCCTTCAAGTTCTTTGTTCCTACTACTCTAGTGGCGGAAATCTAACTCTTACGCTCGGTGGGTTCTGACTCGGTTGGCTAGATCTTGCCACTCCCACTTTGTGCCCACTGAGCGAGTATATAAACGCTCCAATTGTAGATTGTATTTTAGTTTATAATCATCTGCTGATGATGCTAACATGGTTAGCGAAACACGCGTTCAGTGTAAAAGTAAAAGTGTTTTGGTGTATTGTGGTGATTTAGTGTTTTATTTTGCTGTGTAACACCAAAGGTTCCAACCCTCAACTGTAATTGTTATCAGGTAGTAATTGTTAATTTTGAAGTTTAACTTGATATAATGTCATTTTAACAGAACGTCAACGGTTTTTGTAGACGTATCTGTTTAAAAAAAAACTAAAGTGTTCTCGAATAGTTGAATTTAAATATTTTAAATAGTTTTTTCTACTTTCCTTGTATTTTTTTGCTTCCGACGACGGAAAGAGATAGACTTTCCGAAGCGTTAAGCATTTTTTTGTTCGCGAGGGAAATTTGTCTATCTGTAAACCTAACTTCTGACAAGTAGTTTCCGTTTGGATTAAAGCAGAAGTGTTTACAAAAAATAACTATTTTACTTTGTAGATTTCCTTGCAGTGGCGAAATACTCATAGGATTTTTGGAGATATTCAAAAACATTTAAAAATATACAGTGTGGTTCAAAAAGCATGTGCCATCTCTCGTGTTGATATTCCTAACGTAAAATTAGCTTTATTTTTAATACCAACATAGTTCTGATTTGTTTTGTCAGGGGTTCAAGTCTTTCATTTTTTCTCGATTTATTATAATTTTAAAGTGTTTTGAACGATTCGAATAGCATTTTGGGGGCAAAATTTACTATAAGTGTATATAAACACGTTTTAGTGCCAAACAAGTGTCGACAGATTTTTCTTCTAAATAAAAAATGTGCGCCACTGAATTTTTGAAGTTGTATCTTGATATTTTGTCGATTTCGATCTACTTGAGAAGAAAAACAAAATTTTATTAATCACAGTTAATAATTTTAAAACAATTCAAGAAAAAAATAGTAAGTATTTAAGATAATTACAAAAGACCTATTTTCTAAAGTTTTAACATCCTATCACTATAAAACTATGTATTTCCGCACACATGTTTATAGGAACTTTTTTTATATTTTTGGTGAAGAAACAATGAGTACTTATTTAACACTTTGGCCAGTTAATGGCCATTGGATATGACTTGGATTAAGGTACAGGGTGGTCGAAATTTCGGTTTGTTTTAACAGAGAAAACCTATTTCCTGACTAGATAGAGCAAAACCGACATAGATGTCATGAGCTCGATTTCTGAGGCATGTTTAATGTCGTAAATCGCCTGTTGATATTTTCAGTGCCAACTTTTCTTAAAGCACTTTTTTAAGCCCAATGCAGTGGTGTAGTCAGTTTTTTTCTATGCTTGCTCTTTTTGTCAGAAATAATGAAAAATATAATTTTTTAAATGGAAATCATAGTTGGCTATAAACTTAAAAAAATGCTGTCGTTTAACTCTTTCGAACGATATAATGTTATGTGTATTTATTTCTAAGAATGAGAAAAATATTAAGTTTTTTATCTTTGTATCGAAGCGGGCCTTCATTCGGTGTTGACCTAGTTGCCTAATTATTTTTTTTATAATTTAATATTCTATATTATTATTTATCTGCATAATTAAAGACTTTTGAAAAGATAAATCAACATTCTATATTAGTATTACCAATTACAATTAGAACGCCAGGATTACAACTGAACTATTAAATGGAGAATTTAGAGAGAATTGGATTGGAACAAGGGGCCCCATATCTTAGCCTGCTAAGTCCTGAGATTTAACTCCTTTTGACTTTTTTTACGGGAAAAATTAAAACTTCTTATATATAAGGTAAAAACCATTGGGACGAGAGAAGAATTGCAGATGGCTACTAGGCAAGCTTTTGGACTTATTACACTAGTTCACCAAATAAATCGTTATAACTCAAAAGATGTTAGATGATTTTTTTTAGTAAACTATATTCGTCACTCAAAAAATCCTTTTTTTTAGTTTTTTTCTTTGTTTATTGTATCAATTTCAATTGCAATTACTAATACTAATATAGAATGTTAATTTACCTTTTCAAAAGTCTTTAATTATGCAAGTAAATAATAATATAGAATATTAAATTGTGATAAAAAATAATTAGGCAAATAGGTCAACACAAAATCAAGGCCCTCTTCGATATAAAGATCAAAAACCTAATATTTCTCTCATTCTTAGAAATAGATGCCCATAACTTTAGATCGTTGGAAAGGGTAAAACGCCAGCATTTTTTTAAGTTCATAGCCAACTATGATTTCCATTTAAAAAATTATACTTTTTATTATTTCTGACAAAAAGAGCAAGCATAGAAAAAAACTATGCAGTGACTACGCCACTGCATTGTGCTTAAAAAAGTGCCTTAAGAACGTTCTTACAGAATTTTAATATACCACGAAATAAAAAAGTTTCAAAATGGGCAATTTTCAAAATGGTAAAAAATTCAAAAATACTCCGTATCTCAGTTGGCAGTGAAAATATCAACAGGCGGTTTACGCCATTAAACGTGTCTCAGAAATCGAGCCCATGACATCTTTGTCAGTTTTGCCCTATCCAGTCAGGAAATAGATTTTCTCTGTCAAAACAGACCAATTTCGACCACCCTGTACAGTTTAGTGACTTTAGTTAATATTCGGTGATTAAGGCAAATTAATAAAATTGTGTTTATCTCATCAAGGAGACCGAAATCGACAAAATATCATAAATAACTTTTAATCGGCTTTAAACGTCCAACACAACTGTACTAATAAGAGAAAAAGAGTCAGTAGCGTACAATTTTTTTTACAAAAAATATTTCACTGTTAACCCATATGCACCTGGTCCCTGGTGAACCTGTCGACACTTTTTTAGCATTAAAATATGTCACCCTTGTAGTAACTTTTACACTCAAAATTTCATTCGAATTGCTAAAATCACTTAGAAGGAAATTATAATAAATCGAAAAAAAAATATGAAGACTTTAAACCACTGTAGCTACGAGACAAAGTAGAAACGGACCTATGTTGATATAAAAAATAAATCTTATTTTTGACATGAGAAATCTCCCCACAAAAGACGGCACATGTTTTTTAAACACCGTGTAGATATTCAAAAAAATACGGTAACAAGTGCTTTATTGAATAGAGATATTCAGTAAAAATAAAGATAAGTAAGATCTTGCGAGAGCAAAGTACTAAGAAAAATATTTTGGTGATTATACGTACCACTTCACCTTCTTCTGTATTACCAAAATCCAACCATAAAAATCTCTTTCCGTCATCTGAAGAGTTTCGAAGCCTGTCGAAAGAGTACCTCCACAATGTTCTTGATCCTGTACCTGACTCTAGTAATGTGAATCCGTTTTCATAGTGGATAACCAGTTGCGCTGGTCTACCTTTCCATAGACATCCTAGAACAAAATAATTTTTACAAAATATAATCAATACGTTTAGGAAGAAAATCGCCGGTCAGAGGCAAGCCAAAGAGTTCATAGCAGAACACTCGGCAGACTGCTACTAAAACTGCTACTAACCAACAATTTGTTTTGCGTAGTCTGTGGTCTGTTTTGGTTTAAATGTTTTGTTCGTTATTCATGTGGGGGATTTATTTTTAAATTAATTGTAATCGTTAGTTAGCCTGTAAACTCATAGACTATGTATTTCTTATGCATAATCAAAATTGTCACTCTAAATTTTACACAACCAAATTGTCACTCTAAATCTCTGTTTTTTTAGACAGATATCACTTGTCTTCTCATTATTCAATTCATTATTCGAATTCTCAGAATGCCGGCCTTGTGGTCGAAATGATTGCTCTGCTCTCTAGTAGACGCAAGGTTGCTGGTTCGATTCCAGCCTGGGGCATGAGTATTAAATATGAGTGTGAGTCTGTGTTTGTTCGATTTAGAGTTTAAGTTTAAGTTTAAGAAATAATGTGATGAGTAAAAAATTAGAAAGGTAATTTGCGAGAATGACCATGGCAGCCTAGGCAATGAAACGAGAAATTAAAAAAAATTCTCAGAATATTGTTCACAAGAGTTTCATCTTAAAATAAAATTTTAACCAATCACAATTTTTTATCTCCATCATTATTAATATACAGAAATAATACAGAAATAACAGCTCAGTTAAAAACAATTCATTATTCATAGTCATTTAAAGTAATTTTATTAAATTCTACGAATATTCTCGTTGATTATTGGTTTGAAATAAATATGACAGTGTCCTTCAATGAAAATGCGAGTTATTAGAAGCTACAAACATATCGATGAAAATATGCATGAAATCAAGGTTGGTACAGTTTCAACTTTATTATAGTAAATTTCTTAGCCGCGTATAGCACAGATCGTTACCCAGTGTTGTTATAGGCTTATTTTTCATCGGGATAGATTATCACGAGATAACGGGGTTAAATCTATACTAATAAATAAAATCCTTAAGTGACTGACTCACGGATTAATCAGGATCCTGCTCAAACCACTCAACGTAAGAAGCTCAATTTTGGCATACAGGTTGATTCTAGGGTGTGGAGTTTCGATAAGAAGGGATTTTTCGAAACTCCAGTTCCAAGGGGGTAAAACCACCCCTCAAATATTACAATATTTTTTTATTTAAAAAACGGTCAAGTTTCCGAAAAAATGCTTAAACACTGTAACGTTTTTAGTTCGTTACTTGTCTTTTTTATATATAATATATGATGTCTGGCCTATCATCACAGGATTCCCTCTCGTTCAGGCCGGATAGTTTGTTTGACGTGTAATTTTTACGTTCCCTGGTCGCCAACCCTGTTATCGTTCGACACAACCCTGTTACTATTCTGTGGAGGCGCGCGCTGTCAACATCGCTTCTGTCAACTCTCCGTGCTTAACCTCACTTTGTTTTGACGCTCTGTTGTATCCCAGCTTTTAGAAATGGTGATTATTTAAATCTTGCTGTATAATTTGAATCGGCTGCTATTTCGAGGCTACAGGTAAAGATAGTTATTACCTTTTATCGATTCGATGTTATTATTAAATATTTTTAGGGTAGAGTTACGGATGTCCCAACTTGTATTTGTATTTTGCTGGCACGTTGGCGTCCCTTTTCTTTTGTCCTCCAGAATGTCACATGGAAAAAAGGACATGTTGTTTATTATTTATTGAGCCCTCGGAAGTATTTCGAGGTAGGTTTATTTTGTTTATTAGACCTTGTTTGGTTTTAAACAAGAGTTTCATATTTTTAGGGTCCAAGGTACGGACTATTTCCAAGTACGGACTGTGTCCAAGGTACGGACTATTTCCAAGGTACGGACTGTGTCCAAGGTACGGACTATTTTCAAGGTACGGACTGTGTCCAAGGTACGGATTGTGTCCAAGGTAGTGTCTTGTGTACGGACATTATCTTATGTACGGATGTCCTGTGGACGAGTGTCCCCAGTAAGAACGATTTTTTCTTACATATAAGTGCCACAGCGTGGATGTAGCTTGAGTCCCATGCTGCTTCTTCCCAGCGGTAAGCTAGTTAGTTACGGCTGTACCAATTTATGGTGTCTCATGCTGGCCCCTTTGGTTGTGTTGGATGGCTGAGTACAGAGATGCGAGACCACCTCACGCTGCTACTGTTTGAAGCAAGTTTACATAAAGAACAGCTAAGTGTAGATTTACGTTCTAGTTTTTATGTTTTAGATTTTCTATATTTTCAGTCTTAAACAGTAACGTACATTTTAAATAATATCGTACAGACTATATTTAGTGGTTACATTATTAAGAACATTTATGTCGATTCAGTAGTTACAATGTGATTTAGATTTTAGGTTTCATTATATTACGCCTTGTAATAGTATTACTTTTATAGATATTATTGCACTATTTTAATAGATGGATAATCAAACATAGATTCTAGAATCTACAGGTTGTAACATCTTCGATTTAGCATCATATGGAATATATCGAATTAATTAAAGTAATGCTACATTTCATATTTTCTCTTAAACTTTACATGTCCTGTATTTTATCGTAGTTGTTTTCATTGATATTTAGTACGACTCTTACCACCACTTTCTTTGACATATAACCACTATATATTTACTAGAACTCTACAATGTCATGTATCAGCAAAGAACGTCATGAATAAATATAGTCTGTGTTTTCTTTCTCTGTACATGCCTGGCGCCCAATATCTATATATCTTTTGTTAATTTTATTACTGATTAATTTTCTCTCTAGTGAAATACCTTATCCACGACTGCTCTCCGATGAAAAGCTGCCATTCGCAGTGGTAGTGGTTTAAAAAACGCTACAACACGTTTATTTTATTTTGTTTTTCTACATATTCTAAGATTTTTTAAAAATGTATACAGGGTTTTTCGAAAAATCTGGTCATTGATTAATCATGATCCTGCTTAAAGCGCTTGACGTAAAAAGCTGATTTTTAAAAAACGGATTTGACTTTAGGGTGTAGAGGTTCGATAAGAAGGGATTTTTCGAAACTCGAATTCTAAAAGGGTCAAACCACCCCTCAAATGTTAGAATATATTTAATTTAAAAACCGGTGAGTTTTTCGGAAAAACTCTTAAACAAGTATATTTTATTTTCTTGTTTTACATATTTTAAGATTTTTTAAAAATTTATACAGGATGTTTCATAAAATATGACCATTGAGTAATCACGATTCTGCTTAAACTGCTTGACATTTAAAGCTGATTTTTGGAAACGGATTGACTGTGGGGTGTAGAGATTCGATAAGGAGGGATTTCTCAAATCTCAAATTCCAAGAGGGTGAAAACGCCCCTCAAATATTACAATATTTGTTATTTAAAAAACGGTTAGTCTTTCAGGAAAACGCTTGAACACGCATAATTTATTTTGTTTTTTTACATATTTTGAATTTTTTTAAAAAATCAGACAGGGTGTTCCAAAAAATTGGGTAATTGATTAACAACGATTCTGCTTAAACTGCTTGACGTAAAAAGCTTGTTTTTGGCAAACGGATTTTTCGAAAGTCAAGTTCCAACGAGATGAAACTATCCCTCAAATATTACCAAGTTATATAATAATATAGCCATATTGTTTTTCTCATGCTGACATAAATGTGAGAACATTTTATCCAGTTTGTATGTTAATGGAAATTCTTGCTTAGCTTTATCATCACCATTACAAATGATTAATTCGACGCGAATGAAGTCGCGGGAACACGCTAGTTGTTTTATAAACGAGTAGATCTACTCCAAATGGGGTAGCTGTGGCAATAGTGCCTCTGTCGCTTTTCCTCTCGCTAGCTTGCACGTCATTCAAGGCCGTGATTTTGACTCCGAACGGGCGTAAAGAAGTTTCACTTCCATAATAAAAATACTTACGACAAACCAACTCCTTCTGCGTGACGGCACTGGCGTGACTCCCGTTAACCAGCGCCTTGGCCCACACGGCCAGGTCCCGATGCGTTTCCGCCCTCAGACTGTGCGTAACCACCCCCTCGACTGTGGCGCACCTGATGCTGAACTCGGGAAAGTCGTCCCTCTTCCCTGAGCCCACGAGGCGTGTGGCGATGAGCGAGTAAGCTTCGGCGGGGGCGCGCCACGCCTCCCCCGACCAGGGGGCGCTCTCGTAGAAGCGCAGCTCGCTGTCTGTCACCGCGGCGAAGATGGAGTTCCACCGGTGGTCGCTGTCTTCCGAGCTTTCCGAGCTGGACATGTTGATCTGGAAGAAAGAGAAGAGATAATTAAGTAGTGAGCAAATGCAAAACCAAGGCACCTTGTTCTAATAAGTAGACTTAGTTATTGTTTTTATCTTACAATAACAAGTCTTGGTCTCGGTCTCGCTGCAAGACTCTTGAGGGCGACTCATGGTCGACTATGCAAAACGGAGTATAGGAAATTTAATCTAGAATAATTATTGATTATATTTCAAAAGACAATATAGTTTGGTCTGCCCAACGAAAGGCTACTAACAGGAAATTTTCTTTTTTCAAAAACTATGCAAGGTTTATCTATTATGTAGTAAATACTGGAAGAACATTTTTACAAAAAAAAATGTCTATACCTAGTTGAAAATGCAAAGAGTTTTTTTGTGAAAGTCAAATGTTAAAGCTCCTAGTAAAAGTTGATTTTCGCTATACCTTCCGTTTCCTTTCCATATCCGTTCCATATTTTTTATTGTATTGACGCTATACGTAAGCTTCCGTTCCGTATTAGTTCCATACTTTTTATTGTACAGGGTGGGTCAAATTCGACGCTTTTAAATGAAAACACCCTTTTATATAGGAGATAGACGAAAGCTAATATCGGTGTCTGGAGCTCAATTTTCATCAAAAACATGATGGTGAAAACCGCACCTCAATATCTGTTACCGTTTCGGAGTTACGGGGTGTTTTTCAAAAATGTGCATTTTTAACAATTCGCTGTAACTTTTTTGCTTTGGAAATTTTTGTATTTCTATGAAAACATTTCCAAAGCACCTTTTTACGTAGAATTTAATGGTTTAAGTATAATTTTTTTAAAATTAATAATTTAAGTTAGTAATGCTACATTTTGAATTGAATTTAAGTTAGCAATGCTACATTGAGTTATCAACAGAAAAATTGATTTTTTATTTGGGACACCCTCTGTATTTTTAATTAACTGAAAAGAATTTAAAATTACCTTTCCAAAGATATAGCACACTTGATATTTTGTTATAATCCCCTTCGAGATATAGAATATTTAAAAGTTCACCACTTTTAACTAGTAGGCTTTGGATCCCTTACTGATGATATGCCCTTAATGGAACTCGAAAACATATTTTTCCAGCAAAACGACGCACCACCTCAGAACGCTGAAGTTATCAGCAAATTTTTGCAGCCAATTTCAAGAATAATTGAATTGCTAACCAAGATCCGAGCCGTTGGCCGTCGAGACCGCCTGACTTAGTGCCCATGGATCTAATCCTATGGATATATTTGCGGAAGAATAAAGGTTCCTTATTCTTTCGTATAATCTAGACAAGAATTAGAAATACTTAGCAGTTATGAGAGGGTATCTTTCACCCTCACTGAGTTAATGAATTCCGCGAGATATGTTCAAAAAGGACCCCGTCTGTCCATAACAGAAGACGGTCGATATGTCGAACACCTGTAGCAAAATCTCATGTCTTGGTTTGCTATTTATTTTTATTATTATTAGATATAGTTTAAATGTGTTTATGTTGGTTAAATATATTTTAAATTGTTACAAAATTCTGCATCTGTCACAGCAAATATTATTTTCGTTTTAATTGATTCTCACAGCTAGAATTTTTTTGCATTACAGCCGGTGCCGTTCAAAGCCTACTTATTTAAAGCGGGCGACTTTTTATATAGTCTATATCTCGAAGAGGAATCAAGCAAAATATTAAGTGTGTTATATTTTTGGAAAGGTAATTTTAAATTCTTTCCAATAAATTAAAAATATATAGGGTGTCCCATATAAGAAATCAAATTTTCTGTTGATAATTCTTAAATTATTAATTTAAAAAAAATTATACTTAAACCATTAAATTCTACGTAAAAAGGTGCTTTGGAAATGTTTTCATAAAAATACAAAATTTTCCATAGCAAAAAAGTTACAGCGATTTGTTAAAAATACATATGTTTGAAAAACACCCCGTAACTCCGAAACGGTAACAGATATCGATATGCGGTTTTCACCATCATGTTTTTGACAAAAATTGAGCTGCAGACACCGATATTAGTTTTTATCTATCCCCTATAGAAAAGGGTGTTTCAATTTAAAAGCGTCGAATTTGACCCACCCTGTACAATTTCGTCATTACGAAAAATTTGTAACTTTTGAAAAAGGTAATAGATTTAATTAAGAGGTGACAGAATAAATAAATATCAACAAAATGGTAACAAATGTAAGAACTTGACAACGCTGTTTCCGATACGCTTCACTCCATCCGCCAAAAAATGTGTAGAAGGAAAGGATATGGAACGGAAGGAAAACGGAACGGATAGTGTGCATTGTCCTATTCATTTACATAATATAATATTTTACGTAAACGGAAGGGCAACGGAAGGTAGCTGATACGGAAGGTATAGTGAGAATCAACTTTTAAACATAGAAACCCCAAATCTGATTCAAATCGGAATGACAGTTTTAAAATATCTGAAAAAATGTGCTTATTTTTAACGTCAATATTTGGATGAAAATTGGTGTCTGGGAGTTTTTTGGCAGAAGGAATTTGATTTTGTTGTCAATATGACTCATATTTGTAGGGGGTGCCACTTACACGCGGTTTAACTGCTTTGAAGAGTAATAACTTTTCGTCAGTACCTGTATAAAACTAGTGAGTGAAAAACTATACATTTCCGTGATTTTTTTCGTAAAAAATATACTTTGGTAAAAATCGCTACGAGCAACCGTTCTCAAGATATTTAGAATGGAAATAGTCAATACATGTCATTATTGACAAAAAATAAACATGTTGAGTAAATTGTTATTTGACCGAGATGATAAATTTGGGAACTTTTTATTGTTTTAAATTAATCATAAATGTTTTTTTCTAACAAAATGATGATAAAACAGTTTCTGTTGAACTTTCGGCACAAAAACATTTAAAATTTATGATTTCAGTCTAATAACTATTTAGTCAACATGGTTAATTTGTGTCAATAATGACAGGTATTGATAATTTAGATTCCAGATATCTCCGGAACTATTACTCGTATTCTCAAGATATCTTTTTCTCAAGATAAGTTCATAGTGGAACATTCGCCGAAGAAGAAAAAAAACAGATGAGACCGGTGAAAGTATTGCAATGGCATGTTCCTACCTCTGTCCTGGGTTTCCTCAGCAACCATCCGATGTGCCTCAGGTCCGGAATGGCCCTCGAGGCATCGTGCAACGCCGACGTGGTGAGGATGGCCAGGGCAGAATGCAACGTGTTGAACCATGCCACGGCCTCGCCGGCATCGGACGCCCGCAGGACGCAACTGTGCACCGCGTCCGGAGAGTGCAGTTCCAGCGTTCTACCCTCTGGAAACAAAAATAGGATATTGGTTAAATACATTGGCACGGACTAATATACAAGGGTTTTTACACAACTCATTCATTCAAAGTGTTCTTTCTTATTTAATTTTATTTAAATTGTAGATTGTAGATTAAATGTGAGGGGAAGTGAATCACCGCGACCTTGTAGATCTATTGTGTCCCTCTTTCATGAGTTATAACTCATCATACAGTCTCAGGGCTTTGACAAAAGCCATTATATAAGACGGATTTATAGAGGTTAGTTCTCCACCTCTGATATCAGTCGTACCAAAGTTTATGGCACAAATGGTTGTCGTTTCGACACACTCAGTGACGAGGTGTTTTGGTATTTTCCCATTTTCGCTAAAGAATCTGCATTCGCCGTTGTGAGTGTCCTGTTAAAAAACCCACGACAATCCGAAGATAACTGGCACACAGGGTAGGAGGACTTTATTTTCTTTGCCTAATTTGTTCAGCTTGTCTATGCATTCTCTGACCAACTGACTCGAATTGATGATTACTAAGTTGATCGCTCCTAAGGCTGCTTGACTATCGGATAAAGGTGCGTATTCATTATCCGCACGAACGAACGAACAAACGAACGAATGTTCGCTAGTGGTATGGACGGGGACCGTACGATAGAACCGCACGAGAAGACCGGACCATAGACCGGACGCATTTGTTGGCGAACGCCTTTGATGTACCGACTCGAAACGGATGGTCGAGCGAACGAACGCACGAACGGCCGCATGCGTTCGGTCCCCGTCTAAATATACCGCACTTTCATTCGTTCGTTCGTTCGTTCGTTCGTTCGTTCATTCGGATAATGAATACGCACCTTAAGATAGTTATTTAATGACGGCCACGAGACAGCCGTGACTCATGCGAGACGGCAGTGGCGCACGAGCTAACAACAGGAAAAGTGATAGCGGCAGTGTTGCCCCATTCGGGATAGATCTACCCCTTTGTAAAACAATTTAACCCCGTTATCTCGTGATAATCTACCTCAATGAAAATATAAGCTTGTGGCAACACTGGGCAACGATCTGTGCCATACGCGGCCAAGAAAACCACTATAATCAACTTGAAACTGTACCAACAATAGATGTGTAGCATGTTTGTAGCTTCTGAATAGCGATCTATCATTTGCCAGCTCAGAATTAGAATTTAGAGTTAGTAACTCGCATTTTCATTGGAGGACACTGTCATATTTATTTCGAACCAATAATCAACGAGAATATTCGTATAATTTAATAGAATTAAGTACTGTAAATCGCTATAAATAATGAATTGTTTGTAATTGAGCTGTAATTTCTGTATTATTAATCCGGTAAATGATGGAGATAAACAATTGTGAGTGATTAATATTTTATTTTAAGATGAAACTTTTGTTAACAACATTTCTATGCAACATTCTGAGAATTCGAATAATGAATTGAATAACGACAAGACAAGTGACATCTGTCTAAAAAAGACAGCGATTTGGAATGACAATCTGGTTATGTAAAATTTAATTTAATTTTTTTGAAGTTTATAAAAAGCATTCATAAAAAAAGATATATCATTCAAATCATTCAATTTAATAGATGTGAGTAAGAAGGTTCACTTCAAATATGCGTACATAGTGCACACACAATTTTTTTTTGTTTCCAATAGTTCATATCTAAGTTGTACGCATCTTTCGCTAGCACAGATTTTTGTCTAAAGCATAGATAAAAGACTTATACTATTAAATAGATAGGCAACTTATAATACATTTCAATTTTATTATACAAGGGCGCCTCTGGTAGTCAGAGGAAGAAATACTAATGATGGAGAGGGGCGCGGGGAAGGGGGTTGTTTTAGTTAATTTAAAATAAATTTAGACATACATGTAAGAACACTTTGTGTGCTTTTAATTAGGTCGAACATATTATAAACGATAAATCAACTTAATTAAAAGCATACAAAGTGTTCTTATATGTCGGATATTAATTAAAAAAAATATTAAAAAGACTAGAAATAGTATATATTAAGTTGTTACAGTTATAATTTAATCTTTGGCAGTTTTCAGCAAATAGCAGGCAGTTTTACATAATTTTCCTCCCTTTGAAGTGAATTGGAAACAGCTATATAATTTTGGTATAGGCAAGATTCCCAGTTTGTTTCCGTTTGAGACCTGAAATAATAAAAACAAATTAAATTAGATGTAGTCATCTGTTGATCATGCTAAAATAACGCAACGCGCGTCCTTAATTCCTTACATGCACCGTAAAAAAAATTAAATAACTGCTGAGCAAGTAGCATTTATTCGCAGTACTAATTTAAAAAATCTATAACTGTAAATAGATATGTTTAATTTACTTACCATTGTATCCTTTGGAAACCAGGTGTACAACAATTAAACTCCATGATAAAAATAATTAAGAGTCTATACAAAACACAAATTGTCCCACCATTTTTAAAAAACATATTGTCTAAAACAGAATACTGGCAAAAAATCTGAAGCAATTTAATTTTACAATAATTCGACAAATCAAAACGAAATCAAACCGTAAAATCACAACAAAAGCGTTTCTGAATGTCTCGTGCAAGGTCTCGTGACAGTTAAAAATCAAATTTAATATTGTCAGATATTGACATTTGCATTATTAATATTGACAGTTTTAATATTTTGCGCCTCTGCATCTTGGAGGAAAAACTATTTTTAATGAACTGTCATTTTCATTTAAGTTTCCCAGCCATGGTCCAAAGGACGTTAGGGTAGGTGCCCATTGATTCGGAGTATTTAGTTTTCATCCACAAAACATCCCCCTTTAGAACTTCGTCTATCATGTTAAGAAATGAAAGTAAATAATAAAGCGCCTCTCGTGTTTGTTCGCATGCTAAAAATTTCAATTATTGCCTGTAAATATTTTTTTAATTTACATTTTTTTAATTGTAAAGTAATATATTACATTTAAATGGAATATATTATTATTACATAACAATTATGTCAATTACAGGATTACCAGCTTGTTTTCTAACATTTTTTTTAAATAACTCGAATTATAAAATTTCAATATATGTATATTTGTCGTAGGTATGAAAAAAGTAAAGTATAAAATGGACAAACGCTTACTTACATTGCAAACTTGCAAACTTCCACTTTTAGATTTGCAATCCAAACGCAATATTTCTATTTCACAAATAAAAATATCCGACAACACTAAAATCACTGAAACTTACGCGACTGACAACGAAAACTGAAAAATATAACGGCACTTTTTGTTTTGGACCTGCATATCAACATTACGCTGTATCATTATGTTTTTGTTTCTGAAATAATATCAAATATCTAATTATAACTTGTAAATTTTAATATTTTAACATGATTTTAACTATTTCTGACATAACCAAAGACCATAGATAAATGAAACAAGTTTAGATTGGAAAGTGCCCATAAGGACAATGTAAACACTATTTGGCGCTATTCTTGCAACGGTCGCGACCCAAAACTTTTGAACATTTCGGAGCGGTTCGGCTTTTTCCGGAATTATATCGCCAAATATTGTTTATTCAAATTTATTATTATTTTCGTTCGTTTATTTATAAATAAAATACAGTGTGTTGCATACAAGAAACTTTATTTTATATAAGGACGCATGTATGAAATACCTATGAAACATTGGAAACCGACGTTATGCCACGATCCACGATGGTTTTTGCAGTTCATAGTTCACAGCACAGCTTTTTAAGTTTTTAATGCCACTTTTTCACAATTATCACCGGTTGAAGTAAATAAAACTTGAATTAAACTCACAAGATAGCAATAATTACATTGAAAATGAACGCTATAAACACTTTTCGGAATTTCTTTAATGAGAGCGGTTTAGATGTTTAGATTTTGAAAGATTATTATGATTTTTGAATATTCTGACTTTGACAAGAGAAAATTATTTCTGTTTTTGTTTGCCGTTGTTCTTAGCGACCGCTATAGCAGCGCCAGATCGCGTATAACGGTCGCGACCCAAAATAATTTCGCGACTGAAAATTTTGACGGGCTTTCCAATCTAAACTTGTTGCATTTATCTATGCCAAAGACATAACTAATTTTTTGTTATCAAGATGACATTTTAGACGGAAACTGACATTTGTACCTATATGACATAATATTTGAATTCTAAATATGTATGTAATATAATTTAAATTAATATAATGCAACTTTATACTAAGAAAACATTTATACATTCACAAAATGCAACAAAGTCTAATAATATCGTTTGAAAACAATATTGAATTAAAATTAAAAAAGTGAAGCGCGACCCCTTGTGTCAAAATTAGATGATTAAATTTTCGCAATTTTTAGACCATTTGAAGACCGGTGGCGCCTCTAGTGTTTGTTTGGGCGGTTGGTCTTTTACTCCCGCTTATAGCCATTAAAGAAAAAGTTCTAAAGGGGGATGTTTTGTGTTTTCATCCCAAATACTCATATCTCTGTTCCTACTTTGGTTGTAGAAGCATCGGTGTACCCATAAAATAATTAACTAGAAAGAAGTGTCAAATCTGTGTTAAATCGTGGAAACACGATACGCCACCGAAAGCCTTCGTTGTCGTCTGGAGAACTAATTTTCCAATTGACAGGTTGACATGATAAGGACATGATGGCTTAATTTTCATTTCCGTTTCCGGTTATTCAATGGCGGGCCCTCTTTCAGTTCAAATGTATTTTGTGTTTTTTCTTTTCATAAATAAAACCAAAAAATAATTTATTCACATATATTTATTTGAAATATGAAACAACGTGACTAAATAAATATAAAAATATAGAGGATTGTATTATTTCAATACCAATTAGGTTTCAATACCATGACTTACAGTAATTTGTAAAAAAACGTATTCGCAGACTTCAAGGACAGAAAACGGACACAGGAACATGAAAACAGGAGCCTTATACAAAAACCTGAAAACAGAAAAACAATTTTTTTTATACTAAAATTAACAAGGTATAAAATATAAATATACTGTTTAAAAAAAGCGTTCATTAT